TCAGGAACTTCAATACGAATGCTATCACAAACTCAGTGAGGAAAGTGAGGCTCAAGAACTGTTTAAAGTAAATATGGCTGATAAAGAAATGTTAAGTTCTAAGTAGATTTGCGTTTCAAATGCTGAGGTATCTAGTGGACCTGTCCAGTAGGCAATTAGGATTTTGATTTAGAAACTGAGAAATGTGGCTGGAGATACTGCCATGAGAACCATCTGTTCGTAATCAAAACTATATAGGTAGATGAGGTCATCATCTAGACGAGAGCACAGGGCAGAGAGTAGAGGATGGACTCCTATGTAGTGACCGTAGTGAGAGAACTGGGGAGAACAGGAAAGAAAAGCTGTGAAGGAAAAGGGAGAAACAAACAAAGATTAGAATTTTCTGAGCTGGGGCTCAAAATAAGAAGTGATAGCAGATGGGACGTGATACCACATCATTTAGTCTACACACTTGAGAAAAGGGGACCATTGCATTTCTCCAAAGCTTTTCTTAAAAACACTGCCTCCCAAGGCACAGAAAAACATACCTACTATCCACTGGCTTCAGGTTTATTTGCCTTTCCAGTGATGAATCCAGTCTCATGGAAAATCAGTTTAAGTGTGACCTTGAACTCAGACCAAATAAGTAATCAAACATAGGCTGTTTACTTTTCACCACAAGTGCCTACAGGTTAAAGACTGATCTTAACCTTTATGCAGTCGGTAGTGTAGGCTATGTTGTCTTCTTTGACACCAATGTATCATTGATGTACATCAATTGGCTAATATAAGCACGTAAAACTTCAAAGTTAAGAGGGATGATAGAAAACATATTTCTCATCTCACAGAGGGGAACATTTAGGACCGGAGGTGCAGGGACTTGACCCAAGTTGCTTGGTGAGTTAGAGGCAGAGATTGGACCGGAGCCCAGATCTCCTGACCTCAAGCCTTCATGACCTAGAGTCTTACAAGAATCAACACAGGAAATCACGCTTGCTTATGACAATACTCTATGGTAATGAACTAATCATCTGTTCACTTTATTGATGACTGTTTCCTCGGTTATGAACTCTTCATTTTCCAAATGCTATTTGCTGTTGTATATAAACACATTGTGATTGTGTTCGATTTTTTTCAAGTTCCTTTTTTTCATGTTTAAAAATACTTTTTGGATATATTGAGGGCCCATAATGGACACAGTTAAATAAGCATGCCATTAGTTTGCAAAGAGAAATGCCAGCCGAAGCAGGATCCATTAATTTGTTGATAAGTGATTCACTGTATGTGTCCTATAGCATATTTATCAACTATCTTTAACTCATTCTTTTTAAAGCACAAATTGGATTCTTAAAAAATACATAAACTAACATTTGTACAGCTTACTGTATTTACTAAGCAGGACCCTTTTAACATTTGTTATTTTATTCGCCAAATATTCTGTGAGTGCCTACTATGTGCTAGGCCCTAGGGCCTAGAGCAGTGGGCAAGACATACAAGGTCCTTGCCCTCACAGAGTATATAACAGTGGGAAGGTAGACAATAAACATGTAAATAAATAAATGATATATTTTTTTGGATAGTGACAAGAGCAATGGGATAGGGAGTGACAAAAAGAGAGATGGTTCTTTGTTATCCAGTGTGGCCAGGAAGGGCCCCTATTGCAGGTTAAGTTCTGTGGGCAGCTGACTCGGGGACAGAGATCAGCATGTGGAGAGTCCCTTGGGAAGCTCTTCCAGGATCAGCGTCCTAAGTAAAGTACAGACAGTTCCTGACTTACAATGGTCCGACTTAGGATTTTTCAGCTTTACAATGGTGTGAAAGCGATACACATTCAGTAGAAACTATACCGTGAATACCCATACGGCCATTCTGTTTTTCACTTTCAGTACAGTATTCGATAAATTACATGAGATATTCAACACTTTCTTATAAAATGGGCTTTGTGTTTGATGACTTTGCCCATTTGTAGGCTACTGTTTTAGTGTTCTGAGCATGTTTAAGGCAGGCTAAGCTAAACTATAATGTTCAGTAGGTTATTAAGTGTATTAAATGCATTTTTGGCTTATAATGTCTTCAAGCTGTGATGCGTTTTAGTGGGAGCTGACCCCACTGTGAGTTGAGGTCAGTTTGTTACGTAGTCACAGCAAAGCTTTGTCCACAGAGCTCTCGTGCCACGGAGTATCTGGAGTTGGGGCCAGGGGGTGGCCAGTACTGTCTGCGTGCTGCCTTTGGGAGCAGGGAGAGCAGATCCTGGATGAGGGGGAAGCTGAGGGCAACCTGTGAAGGAGGCCGAGCTCTGAGCTGTCAGTTGCCAACACTCTCAGCAGCCGGGCGGGCGAGGCTTTAGCCCAGAAGGGAGGATCTGAGTGACCCACCGCTGCATCCACCGTGGCCTGCCTGAACAGGAGTTATTTGAACTGAAACCCAGATGATGTGATCTTTTAATCCTGGGGTCGATATTGTCATAGCCCTATTTTGTATTTCCGTTGATCTCTTGGAAGCTCAGAGAGGTAAAGTGACTTACTCTAGTCACATAGCTACAGGGAACCAATATTTGTGTCTCCCGGCCCAGGGCTTCTTCTGTACCTGGCTATATCTTGTTCAATTTATGCCTATACTTGTGAAAGTGCCAAGTACGTGTATTTCTGTAAACATTTAAAAAAATTTGGGGGGGTATATTACCAATAGAATATAGGATAAACCTCTTTGTACAGTACAATGCCAGGGAAAAGCCCAGAGGGCCACGTTTGCGTCTTTGTTCAGAGAAGTGATTAGTTATGTTTCTGAAAAATAGAGCTCTAGAATTTAAAACGTTTTCAAATAATATACTGACAACTTAGTTAAAAGAAAAACAAGTGGAACAAATATCACTGGATATTACTTGTTCCAAAAGTCAAACGGCTAACCACAGCCATGCCAAACATCTGCAAATGTTTTCTGGCTCCTAGTCCCTAATCCTTCTTTGATTTGAGGAATGAGAGGAGAATATCTGGTGCTGTCATGGTTCTTACAGTCAATTGCTTAAAGTTTGTTCTTTGCCTGGCTTCCAACCTTTGCCCCAGTTGGTCCATCTCCTGTCCAGGCTGGGCTTGAGTCAGACAATGTCTTACATCTCATGATCTTTTGTAATGCTTAAAGTCCTTTTACGTAAGTTCTTTCATTCAGTCCTTGTAAAAACACACGGACGCATGAATCCTTATTCCCTTTTCAACCGATAAGGGAACTGAAGCTCTGAGAGGTTAAGCGACTTGGGTGCATCACTTGAACTCAAATCCTCCAGTTATAAGGTCTTCCTTTCTTTCCATTATCTCTCCACTCTCAGAGCTTCCTGTGGGTGGGAGTGGGGAATGCATGAGAATAAAACAATATGGGAATGAGAAGAGAGAGCAGGTTATTATTTTTAACTACTGAGGCAGGTCATGTCACTTCCTTGGGCCTGGGTTTTCTCATGGAAGTGGCAGAACTGAACTAGGCTTCTTTCTAGAACTTTCCTTATCTTTAAGCTTCTCTAGTTTTAAGGAAACAGTAAGGAAAAGAAAAAAAGCCAGACAAATCAAAGCAATGAGACAGCAGCAGCAACAACAACAATACAAAACTACCCTGCTATCCCAGGTCTGTAGCCATCACGACAACTATGTTATGACTCTTCCCTTTGCAGTTTCATCAGTGAGTGGAACGCCTTCATTTTGAACACTCCACTGCTCAGGTAGCTGCCGGTTTCCTCGCTACCAATATCACTGTTTCACACATAATGGCGAACAGACTGAAGAGATCAAATTAAATCCATTTCCACTTTAGGATGGGAAATCTGTTTGGAACAATCAAGCAGGTTTGGAGCAGCAAGCATGGGTTTTCAATTGCCATCAAATGGTAAATTGCTTGATGTCAATTGGCATTAAGTGGACCGATTTGTACTCAATTAATATACTGTGCTTGGAAAGGAAGAAAACAATTTTACTTAGCTAGATTGTTCTTCTCCAGGTTCTTCCTGCGTGGAGCTCCCAGCAATTTGCAGGCATTCCCTCTTGATCCATCTATCCCCTCCCCATTGCGAGCCAACCCTCCCTCCTTGGGAATGCTGGGCTTGAAAAAGCTCACTTTACTTTTTGTCATGCCTCAGAGTCCCATTTAGGGAAGGGCTACTGCAAGGCCCCCAAGTGAAACACAGCGTTAGTGGTATAAAAGAGTTAAGGCAGCTTCCAGAAGCATTTTATTTCCAAACAGAGCTCAGCTTTAGGCATGGATAAAGCTGGCTTTCTAGCCATCAGGCTGAAATTATGGGGCCAAGCCACTCCCAGAATATGGATGGAAAACTCCTGCTGGAGAATCCTAGGGATCCAAATAGGGCGGGGGTGACAAGTCAGATATGTGAAGACCTCAGCAACTCCGTAAGATCAGGAAACCCCGCTGGCAGTGATAAACCACCACGGAGGAAACACAGGCCATCCTATCACTGCCAACCACAATGACGGTGCAGAAGCCCGGCTAAATCCATGCTCCAGAGACCCCCACGAATGGAAGGACACGGTGGGGGCCCACGCGGGCCAATGCGAGCCGGATGAGGAAAGATAGTAGCCTGATTTTCACGTAGACTTTATGCTCCCTTTGGCTGGTAATTTACATTTATATAGACTTTTTCAAACTCTGGGTTCTAAAATGGCTTTGCTGGTTTATATGTACAGGGCACTGCTTTGTATCGGCAGTTGGCTCTGTCTATACATAAACAAAACCTGACCATCTGTATTTAAATGAAAGCATGTGGCTCAGATTTTACTTGGTCATTTTAAGCCAAACCGTGCTCGAATGATATTTTTGTGCGGGTACATAAATGTGGTGTATGGTGCTACCTGACGCACCCTTTCATCTGACTCTGTTTGGATGCAAGGTGGCTCTGTAGCTGCACCGCCTCCATGATTTATGTATGAGCATAGGTAGAGGGGACGTGACTGATAGCAATACAGGTGATGACTCTTTACTCTCCTTCCGTCTGAATCTAAAATGTGTCTTCCACATCTTTCCAGGCACTTGCCCAGAGAAATACCTGAGGATAGAGACAATGGACAGGAAGATGGCTTCTGTAAATTGTCGAGCTCCATAAGGATGTCGCTATCTATTGTTACTACTGTGGAGAGAAGCAGCTGCTCGTAGTGGAAAGGGTTCTGCAACTAGAGTCAGAAGGCCTGAGTCTGAGCCAAGATGCTGCCAGTGAGGAGCAGTGATATCTTGGTCACATCACCAAACCTCGGTTTCCACATCTAAAACGGGGACACACTGATTCTGTTTGCTCCAGACCGTCGTTGAGGAGGGATGGGCATCTGTCTGGGGCATCTGTCATCAGTGGCTGCCAGGGTGAGTTTGGCTCTTTGGGTTGGCCAGGCTAAGGTGCCTGCCTCTCTCTCGGCTGGGGAGAGTGGCGTTTCCAAATACAGGGCTGTTCTTTAGCCACAATCATGCGCATGGATGGAGGACCTTCAAATAGGAACACTGTGGGGACTGAATCTGATAGTGTGTACGGAAGAGACCTGCTACCTCAAAAAAGGACAAATACATGCATACGACACCCATTAAAGAACTTGGTGGAGCTTTGTTCTCTCTGGAGTGTAATTCCCAGGGATGCCTTGAACTGCTGCTAGTGGGGTCTAGCGACTGCACTTGCTCTCTTTCCACGCACATGAGGTCTTCCCATATCTGACTTGTCACCCCCGCCCTATTTGGATCCCTAGGATCCTCCAGCAGGAGTTTCCATGCATATTCTGGGAGTGGCTTGGCCCCATAATTTCAGCCTGATGGCTAGAAAGCCAGCTTTATCCCCGGCTGTGGACTGCTGCTACCACAGCCCCCCTCATGTCAGAGCTTTCGGTACATGTGCTGGGCTATGTCTTGGACCAGAGTTTCTCAATCTTGGCACCACTGACACTTTATAATTCTTTGTGGTTGGAGACAGTCTGAGCGTCATAAGATGTTTAGCAGCATCCCTGGCCTCTATCCACAAGATACCAATAGTACCCGCCCCTAGCAGCAACAATCAAAAATGTCTCCAGACATGGTTAAATGCCACCCAGGTGGGCAAAATCACCTCCTGGTTGAGAACAACTGACTTAGACTGTGAGCTCCATGAAAGCAAGTCCTACTATTTTTTTTAAAGTTGTACCCTTGTACCAACTTAGCATAGTATCCAGCCCTAGTAGGTGCTCAATAAAAACTGACTGGGTGAATCTGAACTAAACAGCAAAGTCTAACTTTGGTGTAAGAGCCACCTCCTGCCAACTTTTACGCCTCAGTTAAAGAGGCCAAATTGAAAAGCAGACGAAGCAGGTGGTAGCTGTTAAGCCGACCTTAGGCTCGATGGGGACACACTTGTCAGCAAAGCATCTATGTTCACAGCCTCACTTGATGCAGATTTAAAAGAAGTGACTGAAGTTATCCCAGATGGCCGTGGGCTGCCTGAGCACTCTGGGATTGAGGGAAGGAGGGTGGGGGAATTCACATGCACCTGGCTGTCTCTTTTCATGGCACCCCTCTGCTCGATCCTCCTTAGCCAGAGATTTGCTCACAATATAACTTTCCAGTTGGTCTGAGGTTCCTGATCTTTTTATATCTCAGGTTTCTTGCAGGTTTTCTGACAAACCTACAGGGTTGTCATTGTCCTGGTGGCCAGAGACTCCAGTATTGCCCTCGGTCCTAGGCAGGAAGAGAAGGAAAATGTCAGGTGGTGTTTTGTCATTTAATGGACAAGAGATTACTGACTTGGGGCCTTTTTGGGAAGCTGGATCTTCTCTGATGTCAGTGGGTGGAAGGAGTAGCAGTTTCCAGAGGTTCCAGACCATAGCCATGGCCTCTGAGTGTGCCCAGCCAGCCTTTGGGTCACCTTCCCGCCCGATAAGCAAAGGCTGTGCTCTCAGAAGGCAGCGATTTCTCTCCGGGCGATTCTTCCACAGAAACAGGAAAGTGTTTGCCCTTTCAAGCTTTCGTGCCTCTCTCTGCTCTCCTTCACAGCAAAATGCCTTGAAAGAGTGATTGATATTAGTTGCTCCAATTCTTCTCTGTCTCACTTTCTTTTGAATACACTGTAGTTGGAATCTCGCCCCCCCCCCTCACTTGACAGAAAATTGCTCTTGTCAAGGTCACCGTGACCTGCCAGTTGCTAAATGCATGGTCACTTTGCATCCGCATCTCACTTGATCTGTCAGCAGCGTTCACCCAGGTGATCATCTGTCTTCTCTGAAACACTGTCTGCACTTGGCTCCGGGACTCCATGCTCTCCTGGTTCTCCTCCTGCCTCCCAAGGCCATTCCTTCTCTGTGGCCCTTGCTGGTCCTGCCTCATCTTCTACCACTCCAGGGCTCCAGCCTCTAAATCTCTCCTCTCTTCTGTGCATTAGTGTCATGGCTTTAAATGCTATTTGTTGGCAACTCCTATATTTATTAATCGAGCCTGAGCATCTTTCCTGAACTCCAATATCCTATGTCTATTTGCCTGTTGGATGCCTCTACTTGGATGACAAATAGGGTCCCAAATTTAATGTATCCCAAAGCAAACTCCCCTGTTCTGCTCCATTGCAGTAAATGGCAACTCTTTCCCTTGGAATTCTTTCTCTCAGACTCCACACCTAATCCTTCAGCAAGGCCAGTAGCTCTACCCTCAAATGTATACCCAAAGCCTGGTATTTCTTACCACCCTCAGCACTGATCTGGGTTATGCAGTAGCCTCCTAACTGGCTTCAGTGACCACCACTCCATCCATCTCCTGGTCTGTTTTCAATGCAGCAGCTGGAGTGATGCTTCTAAAACATAGGCCATATTTCACCACACTTCAGCTCGACATTCTCCAAAACCATCCTTCTTACTCAGAGTAAAATCCCTAGGTTTTCCCATATCTTACAATTCCTACATCTGGACCACTGCTTTTGCTCTGACCTCCTCTCTTCCCTCTGGTCCCAGCCCATCCCTGATCCCTCCTTTCCAGCTACATTACCCTCCTTGTTGTTCTTTCTTCAGACACACGGAGCATTCTGCTGTTGCAAGACTTTGCATGTGCTGTTCCTTTTGCTTGGAATCCTTTTTCCTCATATATTTGCACGGGTCACTTACCTCCTTCAAGTCAAATAGTCATCTTCTCTGAACAAACAGCATTCCCTGACCATCCCATCTAAAAAAAAAAAAAAAAATGCCAATTTCCTCATCACTTTTGATATCATTATCCTGATTTCTTTGTATCATTGAAACCATATTTCTATTTTTTTATCTTCATATACTGTTTCCTCCTCTATAATATAACCTCTGTGAGTTTAAGAACCTTGTCTTTTTCCACTGCTGCACCCCTCGAACTTTAACAGCTCCTAGCTCCTAGTTGGTGCTCCGTAATATTTGTTGAATGAATGAATGAATCTATGCCTACAGCTATAAAGATTCAACATGACAAGGCGGCCTCTGTCAACAAGTTCCAGAAAGATTACTGGATAGTGATGCTTCCTTATTAAACCATCTGGACATTCAAATGAGATTATATATGCTGCTATTTCTCTTTCTGAGTTACAATGTAATTTTTTTTTCAGTTAAAAATGAGGAATTTAAATTTGGTGAACATTTCCAATGCTAGCATTCTGTTAATGCATTAATATGCCAAGGTGTCTTTTTATTCTGTTCAGTTTAATTCATGAAGTATTGATTGCTCCCACTGCCTGTCAGGCTCTGTGTTGGGAGAAAGAAATACAGGTTGCTGATATATGATCCTCCCCTCAAGATGCGTGAGGACATTTAGGGATAAGGAATACAGACTATGATCTACGCTTTCATAATTTAAAAATGTTGATAAATGGTAAAATATTTCTATTCCTATCGAGAGAGTTAAGCCCAATGAGAACATTAATGTCCTTAGGCGGATTATGTGTCAAACCTCTAAAGGAAAGTGCCAGGACTAGGCCGGACGCGGTGGCTCACCCCGGTAATCCTAGCACTCTGGGAGGCTGAGGTGGGCAGATTACTCGAGGTCAGGAGTTCGAAACCAGCCTGAGCAAGGGCAAGACCCCGTCTCTACTATAAATAGAAAGACATTAATTGGCCAACTAATATATATATAGAAAAAATTAGCCGGGCATGGTGGTGTATGCCTGTAGTCCCAGCTACTCGGGAGGCTGAGGCAGGAGGATTGCTTGAGCCCAGGAGTTTGAGGTTGCTGTGAGCTAGGCTGACACCATGGCATTCACTCTAGCCTGGGCAACAAAGTGAGGCTCTGTCTCAAAAAAAAAAAAAAAAAAAAAGGAAGTGCCAGGACTACATAGCTTCACGTGGTCCAAAGATGACAACTCTGAAACAGGAACAATCACATCTTTGGGGGGATGTGATGGAGGGCTTCATGACAGAGACCACAGCCGAGCAGGTAGGGGAGTGGGCAGTGAGAACAAGGGGTGTTTCCAGACAGAGAGAAGACACACATGAGCACAGGTGTTCAGGGGAAGACTCCAAGTCTTTTTCTGGAAATGGTTGTAGCCAAGAGAGGGTAGCACATGGAGCAGGAACAGGGCAGATGTTCCAGTTAGGGATTGGAGGATAAGGCAAATCATGTTGGGTAGCATTATTTGTTTTTTGCTGTTGTCATTTGTTTTCCAAAAGTAACAGGATTGACAAACAAGATCCCTATTTCTGCAACAAATAGCAAGAATAATATTGCCAATCTCATAATTCTCCCACTTGCTGTGCAATGCCCATGCAAAGGATTTTGGAATCCTCAAAGCAGATTAATTCATTTATAGCAACTTTTTGGTGTATTGCCACGTTTCCTCCAATCTTTGAAAATTGATCATTCATGCAGCCTCTATAAAGACTCTCTATGAGCCACCTAGCAGAACACGCTATTGTTCTCCCCTGATGGATAACAGAGTTTACTGTAAGTGCCTTTTCATGATCATGATGGAATTTCCCCCATTCTTTCACTTTTCCCATAAAGCCCACATCTGCTGACCTCCAGGGTTTGATAAAAGGTCTCTCTCATTAGCTCAAGCAGCTCATGCTCTGTCTGAACAGGATTCCAGTAAGGATGGCTACAGACTGAATAACAGCCTGTCTTTCCACATAACATGGACTCAAATGCTTAAAGGAGCCCTGCGTTTTAGCAGTCAGGCACAGTATATAAACCAAGAACTATTGTAAAATACCATAGCCCAAAATGCAGACAAGAGTTCAGGGACCTGGTCTCCCGAAAATAAATAAATAAACAAAGCTGACATCTACCTGTCTCTACAGTCCATTTTGATGTAATTTTATCATGATGTGGGGCACAAAGCAAATGTCATGGAAGGAGTCACAGATTCAAAGCCTTTCAGAGCTGGGAGACATTAGTGGTTACTTCTT